GGGGGGGGGGGGGGGGGGGGGGGGTCCCAGGGAGGAAATGACCAGGCGGGCAGACTGGGCTCTGGTGCACTCTGCCTGGACCCTTTAGGGGCACAAGGTGGGGAGACAATCGACAAGGCGGGGATCGACCTGAGACAGCCACAGAGAAAGACCACAAGCGACCCAGGAAGTAGTGCAGGGATGGGTTTCCTTCATCACCAACCGGGGTGGGGAGCAAGTCAGACGTGCTGTCTTCTCCCTACGCGAAAGGGAAATGGAGTGGGAGGGCTCTGAAGAGTACACTGCAAAGCAAGAAGCCCAATTAAATGTAAATTTCATTAAATCATCTAAAATTTTGCAGCTGGAACATTATCTTTTGCTTATCAGCTGGTCTTAAATGTTACTCATTCTGACCTTTTATGTAAGGAGGAAAGGTACCCCTGATCTTCATTATAATTCCTTAAGTACATACTCAGTGCCTGCTTTACCTGAAACTGATTATACTCACCATGTTCCAGGCTAGCAACCGGCTGTGTATTCCTGCCCATGACACAAGGTAACTTAAGAAACTAGCTCCCATTAGCACAAGACACGGAGGCAAGTGAAATTTGATTGCAACATGTTGTATAGACAGATACAATAGCTAACACTTAGCGCTCTTACTGGATGCCAAGCATCGTCCTAAGCGCTTGGCATGTATTAAATCATTTAATCCCGTGATAGTCTTAAGGGATAGGTACTAGGAGGAAACCGAAGCACAGACAAGTGACGCAAGCAGTGCACGATCATGGCTAGGAAGTGGCTGAGCTGGATTTCAGAGCCAGACAGTCTGGCTCCAAGCCCGAATCCTGATCCAGCACCCTATTCTGCACTGTAAGTGCCAGGGACGCCAGGAGGAGGGCGAGCAGTCTAAGTCAGCCCTGGGCTGGGCTCTGAAAAACAAACACAGCTCTGACAGACAGGTGGGCATTTCAAAGCCACTCAAGGCGAACAGAATAAACACACCCTTGTACACACACACACACACCCCGACATGCTCAAAGAACATCATTTGAAGAAACTTAGACAAAGCAGAGGGTTTCCGGGGGAATGCAGTGGACACAGAGGGTTAAAATACCAGTCCAGGGAAACTTTGCATATGGAAATATGCTCCACCCACACCATAATATCTTTATACGCAAAGACTGAATATTAAACAGTCCTACAAGACACACACAGGAAGAGAAAGTGGTCCGACGGTATACGGCACAGTGCTGGTATTTTTGCCTAAAAAGGTATTCCTAAATTTCAAGTGAAAGATTGTAATACCACTCTGGATTAAATTCTATCCTCAGACTCCCGACTCCGGTGTGTAAGGGCATACACAAACAAAAAGTAGTTTCAAAGTAACATTACTGTCAAGCCTGTCTTGTTTACTCTGGTAAACTTATAAAAGCATACGGCTCCATTGTAACCTTCAGACTACAGACCCAGATAGGGCAACATCACAGATGTTCTACCATCTTCTTGGAAGTGACTATTCTACTGGATACTTCAGGAGAGCAATGATGAGCCCCCAGGCAAAAGTCACAATAACTCAAAGGAAGGCATGGGCTTTCCAGTTCATTTCAGGGGCAGAGGCCCTGAAAATTAACATGCTCTCTACAGTATGCACATAAATACTGGTAATACTGAGCCTCGACAACTCACCATCTAATTCTGATTCGAACCTAACATAACCATTTCCAGACTCCAAGAGACAGCACAGAGTGAACATTTTTCAACAAAGAAAATTCTAATAACTTGAACTATTCTGCAAATTAGGACAAGATCCTCATTTGCAATCAGCTCCACGGTTCAGTTCAGCTCAGGGGAAGAAGGAAGAGGCAAGGGCCTCCTTGCGAGCCTAGGGGACAGGAGGCCACATGCCATCAGAGAAGCAGGGAAAGATAGGCAGAGGGCACAGGCTCCCAGCCAACCTGCCCCCACTCAGATGCTCTGTTTGAGCGCGGTCCAATAGAAATACAATGTGAGCCACATATGTAATTTCAAATTTCCAAGGTGCCACGTTAAACAAAAGTAGAAGGATACTGGAGGGAATTATTTTAACGCTTTTAATTAACCCAACTGTGTTCAAAATATCATCTTGATGTGTATTACTTACACACACACAAAAATTATAAATGTGATAACCTTCCCCCCCCCCCCCCCC